TATCTCAGTAGCGCATATATATTTTTTTATATTGGGTCAAGACTAAGTTGTTTATTAGTTTTGAAAAGCGTTATAAATTCCGTATCGTATATACATCACCATAATAAAGTATTAATGAAGTGTGCAATACAGATTTACTGCGGTTTTCTACAATAAATATTATATTTTTGATTTTATATTTATAATCTTATTTAATATTTAATTGTGATAGAAATGAAACATTTAAGTGAGGATTGGTACACACAAAGTAAGATTATGCATAGGAACCGTTAATAAAGTTTATAATTTATATAAACATTATAAACATTGGGTTGTCAGCTGTATTTTTATTAATTACTTATGTCAAACCTTTAATTTTTAGTTTATAATCTATGATTATTTTAAACGCGTTGAAAAAATTCTCCCGTTCTAATGAATTTTTTTCAATTTAATAAAAAAAAAATTATTTCGAACTTTACATTATTTTTATAAAACATTAGTGCAAAAATTGTGGAAAAATACTGTACAGAAAACATCATTTCCTGCCACAAAAGTTAGTATGCCTGTCGCACTTGTCGTTTCTACGCTATTTTTTTTTTTGATTCATATCGATATGCTTATGTACCAGACCAGCAAAAGTGAAAGTATTGAAAGATCAAGATATAGTCCGTTGATAAAATTTGAATATAAGCATTGCTCACACACGTTATATTCACGATTTTTGACAAGTATGAAAATCCGGTGATCACCAAATGAGTAGTAACGAATGATTAACTTTGTTTTTCTTGCGTCTCGACAACCTTTGTTCGTTTGTTCACGATTCCCTTGCGTTCAGACCATCTTATCTATCTCTAGTATCCTATCATACACTTCGTTTCAAACTCGTTCTTTTTCTTGCACTTTAACTCTATTTAAAAGGAAAATGCCTCCAAAAAAAGTTGTCAAAGAAGAACGAATTTTGCTTGGTAGACCAAGTAATAATTTGAAGATCGGCGTTGTTGGGATGCCTAATGTTGGGTGAGTTTTTGAGGGATACATTAGGTTTAGCGATTGAAAGAAAGGAGAAAGCAAAAAAAAAAAAATTTTGAGTATTTGTTACCAAGTTTACATTTTTATTGTATTTCTCATTAATAAAAACTATAAATATTTATTATAACTTTAGTTATTAGAATTGATTTATATTTAAGTAAAGCTTTCTATATAATTTTTTTAATTCAATATATTTCATATGCAGCAAATCCACTTTCTTTAATGCTATTACAAAAAGTGCAGCATCCGCGGAGAATTATCCTTTCTGCACAATAGGTTAGTTTTAATGCATCTTAATTTACATAAATGTGTATATATATATATTATCGATCTAATTTATTATGACCTATGATAGATCCAGAAGAATCTCGAGTAGCTGTGCCTGATTCTCGTTTTGACTGGTTATGTGAGACATACAAACCATCTTCAAAAGTTCCAGCTTATCTTACCGTCATTGATATTGCTGGATTAGTCAAAGGTGCAGCTACTGGAGCTGGATTGGGTAACAACTTTTTGAGTCATATTCGAGCTGTGGATGCCATTTTCCATGTTGTCCGTATCCTTTTTATTTTTTTCAAAAGTTATTATAACGTTAAAACACTGTTACCTTAGACTTCTTTGACTTGCAAAAATTTATAATAATTTATGGTGAATGACAGGGGCTTTTTCCGAAGAGGACGTAATTCACGTTGAAGGGGATCTTGACCCTATTAGAGATCTTGAAATCATTCATAATGAACTTCGTCTCAAAGATGAAGAATTCTTGGCCAAGAAAATAGAAGAATTATCAAAAGTCACGGCACGCGTGGGAAAAGGTGGCGGTGCAGCCGATAAAGCAAAGAAAGAAGAATTGGTTAGTGTCGTAATGATAATTTGAAGTAACTCCCAAAGTCAATGTTAAAATTTTTGGATTTTAGGAAATTACGCAAAAATTGTTGAAAACTGTAACAGAGGAAAACAAGGATGTCAGAAAAGGAGATTGGAATAATAAAGAAGTAATTCTTAAATCATTAGTTTTACTTTTGATTTTTGTTATGCAATCATTGACTAAAGATTTTCTCTCACGCAAACAGGTTGAAATTATTAATAACTTGTTATTGCTTACTGCAAAACCTGTAATTTATTTAGTTAACTTAAGTGAAAAAGATTACATTAGGAAAAAGAACAAATGGTAATTGAAAAGTGGAAGAAGCATTTTAAATGTTTATATTATCATAAAATAACCGCTCTTTTATTTTTTAGGTTACCAAAGATAAAGGCGTGGATTGATGAAAACAATCCAGGAGATTTGTTACTTCCTTTTAGTGCATCATTCGAAAGTCAGTTTTCAGCCCTTCCCACAAAAGAAGAAAAGGAAAAATTTATGGCTGAAAAGGACGCTCAATCTGCATTACCGAGAATAATTGTGGCAGGATATCAATCATTGCAACTCATGTACTTTTTCACTTGTGGGCCAGATGAAGTCAGGGCTTGGACAATTAGGGTATTTAACGATAACATTTTGTGGTATATAAAAGTAAATTCACGTGATTCATAAACTTCTAAATTGTAGAAACATACGAAGGCGCCAAAAGCAGCAGGAGTTATTCATTCAGATTTTGAGAAAGGTTTTATATTGGTCGAAATCATGAGGTTTAATGATTTAAAGGAACTTGGCAGTGAATCAGCGGTCAAAGCGGCAGGAAAATATATACAAAAGGGTAAGGAATACGTTTTTGAAGATGGAGATATTGCATATTTCCGATCTGGTCTCGCAAATAAAAAATAAGGTGATAGAGTTTTTTATATTTCATTTATGAATTATCTATTTAATGGAAAAAAAAATGGTTGGATAAGTTATCTGTATTATTCATAGAATGTACCCAGACATTCAATAATTTTATTAAAACTCGGAACAAAAACTGAATGAACCAATTAATTACATAAATAGGAGACATTAAGTCTGATTTTTTTTTTTTTCCTTTTTCTCGGGGGTGTGTGATTTAGAATAAAGAAATATAAAATAGGTAAACTTATTGTAATAAATCATGATTCGACAAAATTTTCTAGCAAAGGGGAGATTTTGGAATAATATTAATTCGGAAAAACAAAAATTTCAAGACTAATCTACAAAACAAAATAATAATAATAATAATTCTATATGAATTGCTGTAATATCTAAATTAAAATAATTAAAATACAAAAAGGATGGAAAAAACAAAAAACAATCTACATTAATTAAGCGTGGATGAATATATGTATATATGCTAATGATTTTGATTTGATTATGGTATATATATTATTATTGATGTAAATTAAATACTTTTGATGAAACATTATTCACAGAAACGAAATAAATTAAATAGAATGTCTAGTATCATTATCATCACTGCTACTTGTATCTGATGGTGGTATTGCAAAAGTAATAATCCTTGAATTATTATTATTATTCACGCTACCATTACCAATTGCACTTGCACTTATATTAGCCTTGGGTGAAAGGATCATTGATTCAATGCGTTCTTGTTGTAAAGGTATTACGGTATTCACAGAAGAACGTTCTCCAGAACCAAAATTACCACTTGAAATATTGCTAATATTGCTAATTCGGGAAGTAATTGTGTATATTCCAGAACTAACAGATTTCCTTAGGTTATTATTTTCTTCTTCAGTTAAATCAACTATTTCAGTAAATGCAGAAATAATTGTTGCGGAACGTTTTACCGTCGATCTAAGAGGAGGGCTATCCTTTTCATCATTATTATTATTAGCCACGATTGGGGGAGAACTTAACGCAGTTGGAATAGCAATATTAAGATCAGCAGGCACAATTTTTCCTTTTTTCATTCTGAACGAAGAGGAAATACTAGTTATTGAAGTTAATGAATTCGATTTAGAATTATTTTCCTTTTCCTTATCTATTGATAACATATTTCCTGTTACTTTCTCATCATCATTTACACTAGTATTGACGTTTGATAAATTATAATCATTATAATTGTTGGCATTATTGGCATTTCTCTTTCTTTTTCTTCTTATAAAGAACCCCAAGAATATTAAGATTAATAATATAATGAACAATGATATCGTAATTATTGGAATTAACCAAGGACGTTTAGTATTTGTATTTATCCCTGGCGCTGAAGTTGTCGTTGATGTGGGTTGTGTTTGTATTGTAGTATCTGAAGAGAATGGTTCATAAGGCGGTTCATTAAATATCGGAATCGATGTATCAGTGGGGGAGACGTCAGGTAATGATGCCGTGTTGGTGGGTGATAGTTCTGTGTTGGTAGGTAGTAAAGTTGTGTCGGTAGGCAGTAACGCTGTAATGGTAGGTATGAATGAGCCGGTAGGTATCGGTAAAAAAGATACCAACGTAAAATCGATATCTTCAATACTTGTGATCCTTGTAGCAGTACTGCTCGATGTTTTTTTATTCGTATTTTTATTATTTTCCGCTTCTTGTCTACGACTAAATTTTATACTTTTATTATTACTGTTGAAATTTACGTTATTAATTGCTGAATTTTTGCTAAATTAAGGAATAAAATGTTAATAAAAGACAAATAAATGAGTTTAAGTATATCGAAGAACAATTGTTTAAACCTTACTTGATTTTATTTGAAGTCGAATTCTCAGGGGGCATATATAGTATAGGCGCCATATTGAAAAGATATATATATTGCTGTTACTGCCTGCTGCCCACCTACTTCACCTACCTCACCTACTAATTCAATAATTCAAACTATACTTCAATTAATAATAGTTCAATCAAGAGTAAATCGCGTTTGTTATCCAAAAAAAAAAAATTTTTTATCTATTTTAAATAATTAATATATTACAACAAAAAATAATAAATTTATTTTAATATACAATATTAAAATAAAAATAAAAAAAACCCCCCGTAACGGGTGGGGGGGGGGGGGGGGGAATCGGAAGAATAGAGAAAGGGAAGTTGAATTAACTTAATGAAAAAAAAGGAAGGAAGAATTTCAAATGGTTAACATCCGAATCTTTCGATCCGAGCTTTATGATAAGGTATCTTTTTTTTTAAAAAAAAAAAAAAAAAAAAATGAAAGAATGAGAATGAAAGCTAGAAAAAAAAAAATCAAATAAACATCCGAAATTATATTAAATTTTTTTTTTTTTAGTAATATTGAACTCCACGTTTACGTGAAATTATCCTTAATTAGCAATGATAATCTTAATGAACGCGTTTTGGATTTGTACTACTAAATTACCCCATTAGTTGACTATATAAGGATTTTTAAAGCATTTAAATGCCCAAGAAAAAAAAAATGTGACAAAATTCTTCGAGAGGGTGTAAGAAGTCACAACCCATTCGTTTGGTATATGTGTCAAGCTTCTTGAATGCTAAAAAACTAAGTTTACAAACAATGGATTTTTGTTTTTCCCTTGTGATATAAAAAATATCTTTTTTCATTATTACTTTGTCGATCAAATTTAGTAGATTGTTAACCAAAAATTCACTAGACTTGATGAAACCACTCGCATTGTAATTATAATGACCTTTTTACATTAAGGTACAGGAATTAATTTCCTCGGCACAAAAGAAAAAAAAAATCATAGATTGTTCCGAGATTTGTCGTTTTAAATTAAGGTAATTCAATCAAGTTATCAGGCTTTATTCGGGGAATATATATATATATATATATAAAATATTTCATCATATTGCCTCACAAAGTGATTTGTTCCCAATAAATTACAGCATAACGCATATTTAAACGCCACAAATTTTTGAGGGATGCTATTCATTACATAACACGTGACATGTCTGATTTTGAGATTATTTCTTTTAAGAGATTAAACAATGAAAAAGGTTTTTCGTGTTAAATGTTTTGTGGTAGCATGACACTTCGTAAATCATGCAAAGCAAAAATCCTTTAATAGTAATGACGTCGGTAATAATGTGTTCTTGAATAAAAAAAGAAAATTATTAAGGGAAATTTTACTGAAATGTATTAGACCATCCATTTATCAAGGTTAACCTAACCGCATTTAAAATCATTGAAAGAATGCATAAACGACCCTTCATCATAATCACGTCACAATTTTTCTCAATCTCCTGAATTTTAATGCTTTTTTTTCAGGAGAAAATAATAATAATAATAATAATATGTAAAGAGAATGAAACCTATTTGGTTCAAATAACCTTGGCCCGGGGGTTTTCTTTGTTTCAACGTGTAGAGGATTCCATAAATACTTTCGCTAAAAAAAATCTGAAACAAAAAATCTTTTTTTTTCACCTGTAAACTCAATTCAGCAAGAATTTTTTTGATGATTTAATTCAATTATGGAAAAAAAAATGATTTTAACCTTTCCCATAACATCCGTAACATCGGTAATAGAATATAACAAAATTCCGATTTACTTTATTACTCAGCCAAGGTGACGACATATTTAATAATAATCTAACCTTTAATATCGAACTTTCCCAAAAAAAAAACATGTTGAATTACAAACAGAAAATCACGCTTAATAAACTGCGGATGTTATCTATAAGCTGTCATTTCTTTTCTTCTTCATTTTGGTATTTTCAAACAAATCAACTAGCATTTTTGTGATCCCTATATTTAGTTAACTTTATGAGGCAAACAAAACAAGTAAATTTTCGGTCGTATGACGAGTACGCTTTCACATTATCCTTTTTTAAAATAGAAATATCGGTTTTGTTCGCATTTTCGATAGTTATTCTTCCAATGAATAAATTAAAAAACTTTTTTTATTTTTACTTTTTTTTTTCTTTCGCAAAAAATAATTCCGAATGCTAAGAAAAATTCAAATGCTTTTGTTTACCAAATTTCGATTATCATTTCCTGTTGATCTTTAATATCCGAATCCTTTTACCGGGATGATTTACAATATGTTTTTTATTTTTTATTTTTACCATCCGATATACCGACCTATATGATGAAACGTAAACTTTCAAAAAATACTAATTGTAGTAAATAAATAAATTAAATTACAACTTCTCACGGACCCTTTGGGCTTACCAAACAAGTTTAAGCCTTATCTTCAAACGGTTCAGTTTACTTATACATAAATTTATTACATGATATAAAAAAAAATTTTTTTTGTAATCAAATAACAAATAAATACTCTGACCGCCACTTTCCTTTCTGTTTTTATCATCCATTATTTTTATTATCGTTCTTTCAAATTATTATTATTATTATTCTTTTTTTTCCCTCCTTTTTTTTTCCTACTCGTTATAAGATATCATTATAACTATAGAAAAGAAAAAAAGAAAGGAAAATAATAATTTTAATAAATATAAAACAAACTTTATCCACATTCCCTTTTAATTAACATAAGGTTCCTTCCTAATCGACGATTTCATTAAAAATTCTTTTTGAACTTTTCCTTCCTTAATCCTTTTTCTTCATCACTTTTTTTCTTAAATTAAACTCTCGTTAATGGTTAACTTGAAATCAAAATCAATGGAAGATAAAAAAGGAAGAACTTGTGACAATTCAAATGACTGGTGCTCGCAGGGTAATTATTTTAAAAAAAAAAATTAAAAAGAAATTAAAAAATGATGAATCCCTTCCTTAATTAATAAAAAGGAATCCCTTTTATTATTTTATTCTTGATAGGCGGGATAAACCAGAAACATGAGGATTATCCTGGCAGGGCCAAGACACATTCGAAAAGAACTCTTCCTATTTCAAAAATGTTTGAATCTCCTTATACTACTCCTCACCCTCCTCTCGCAAATGAGAATCTCCCAGTTTCGGATGTCACCGTTCAGGATGATAAAAAACATGGGCTAACAAGCAGTTTGGCGATCGCCGCAATAATAATTGGATTATTTATAATATCATCAATAGTAATATATGGACTTATTCGATTTGTAAGGAAAAGAAAAAATAATTCTGCTTCCAAACCACAAGAACAAGAAGTGAGATTACCCACAAATCATTTAACAATAACCATCGACCCTATTAAGCATAATCATTATGCACAAGAATCATGTACCACCCCAGATACTCGACCAATATTAGATTATTACTCTTCAAAGGCTGGTTTGGCCTTAAACCCTTCATCACTTGGTAATAATAATTCAAAAAATTCTGCCAGATCAAATAATCCAAACTTTAATTATAATAATGATGAATATACCACAGTCGAGATTAATGAAAATACTACCACAACAGGAGATTCCACCAAAGAATTCTCTGGTGAGAACGAGTATGTACCGCAGTATTATAACGGATTAGAGATTCCTCCTTTAGGTGCAAGGATCATTCCGTTGGAACGTCAAGTACAAATCGCCAAAGAGGCCAACTTGAGCCCTACTCAGAATAAAAGAAAGAGTAGAATTAGTATTACTAGTATTCTTAGTATTAATAGCAGAAGGAAGAGCAATAATACTAATCATACTTCTAATAGTTCCAATCATTATTATACCAATAATAATAGCACTACTAATACGCTTAATCTAATACGCGAATCAAATACTGCGAATGAAGAGGACTTGTCATACTCGTCAAAACCCAATTAAACCCATTAGCATTCTTAACGTAAATATTTAATAACTTTTAATTTTTTGAATTCATATTACTATTAGTACTAAGTTTAATAATTAATAATTAATTGATTGTACAGAAAATTATTATAGAATAGAAATTATTGTAAAGTATGAGTAATAATAATTAATACGTGTTGAAGTATTATAAAATATTTTGTACATTAGGCATTATAAAAAATCTAAATAAAGAAAATATGAAAATATGATAATATTGGTTATGGATTTATATTGATTTATCAGACGAAATAGGAAATTTTAATCAGATTCCGTCTTTATCATTTACAACTCTGTTTTACATTTTACATGTGAAAATATTTTGACCGCACGTGGTATCGTCTGCCGCAGCACGCATTATTTAAACGCGACACTTGAAACCCCTTTTCAAACGTTTTTCATTCCTAGATTAATTATATGTAACTTTTGATAATGAACAATGAATTGCATGTGCAGTTTCTGCAGAACACGGAATTTTAAGGAATCGTGTTCACGAACAACCGACCAACCTACCGGCCGACCATCAAAAAAAAAAAAATCGATCGTCACTTTGTTAATACTTTTTTTTTAAAATTAATTGATTTTGCTTCTATTAAATGGCATTAAAAGATCAATTAGTTAATCTAATAAATCCTATTCTTCCGAAAATAACATATTTTATACGAAAATCAAGAATTACTTTAATGACTATCATATTCTGCTGTGTTTGTCGTAACCATATCATATTAAAAGTATACTCTTTTTTTTTAACACCGTCATTTTATTATTGAATTACAAATGCAAATGAGTTGTAAATTTTTGACTTCTAAAATATTAAAAGATAAAGATATTTGTAAAATATAAATAAATTTTTTTTTTCCAAAAATAAAAAGGAAACAAGAAGAAAAAAAAAGATTACAAATTTTAAAAGTAAAAACATGGAATAAAATAAAAATAAAATAAACTTAATTCATGAAAAATGTTTTGAGTACTAATATCATAAACTCTAAATGATGTACTTCAAAGTAAACATAATTAGTCTCTTCCTTTTCTTCATATGATTAAAAATATTACATTACCAATATCTGGCAGTAATGAATTCATTGCCTTTATCTTTAACCATCCTATTACCAATTCCTCCAATACCAAAAGCAGGACCAATTCTTACAATTCTGGTTAAAGTCGTCTTAACATAAGTTCTATATAAAAATCCCATACGGGAAGCTAAAGAAACATTTGGTCTATTATAATAATCTAAACCTAATAAATGTAAGGCACAAGAGACGAATTGTATACCGGCAGGACATAATAATTGAGCAGCATTGGCGGCCCTTTCGCCATCCAAAATCCATCCACGTTGTTGAAATTCTGTTGCAACAGTTCCCGGCATATTAAAACTAGCTGCGATCGTTAAAGCATCCCTTGTAACGAACATACCGTAACTTGCTAATGGTAAACCTTTTGGCACTACGGTACCAAACATCTGAGTAAATGCTCTGTCTTTATATATACATGTTGTCATGTTGGCTATGGTTGTACCCAAGAATTTTGGTGTTTGATTATCTGTTTTTAATCTTTCACATATTGTGTCGATTGAATTGGCTGTAGCATAAGTTGCAAAATACACTCCAAAAACCAATAAAAATGGTCGGGAACGAACGAATCTGTGAGGTTTCGTAAGTAGGTTAATAATTCCACTTTTTAGGGCGACTCCTAGTTTATTCCTTCCGCTTGCGTTTTCTATAATCGATCTATTGTCATTAACAGAGCAAGGATGAGAAAAATAAGTAAATGGTCATGTCAGCAAGAATAATCATGAAAGCAAGCATGCAAAGGAAAAAAGAAAAAAAAAAACTCCCCCCAAAAAAACCAAACGAAATTAAATAAAATTTTCATAGATAACATACCTATCAACTATGGAAATGAATGGGGAGACAGCAAAAGCAGCCGAAGCAGCCGCAACAAAATCGACTCCCAATTTTTTCCCAAGTAAGAATTGATACTTCACATCAGTCATGATAATTTATTTTTAATTTTTTATGTATGAAAAGTTGTAATTTATTAAGATTATTATTGAAAATTATTAAGTATTTATTGAAAAATATCTTGAGAATAATTCACGTTTGTTTCTTTTTTTTTTTACAAAGACAAAATTTTTTTTTCAATATTTATACAGTTTTTTAAGGCTGATTTTCAAACCTTTTTAAACTCAAATCCGGAATAAGGCTAGTTTTTTTTGTAAATAAAAAAAGCCTCTAGATTTATTTATAAAGTTGCAGGTACAAAAGCTTATCAGCTTTAAATTGATTTTCAATTATCACATTTCTTTTATTTTTTTTTAAAGAGATTCTCTTGAGAATATTTTGTTTATCAGTTGCACGAACCTGCACTCTGCAAAATGCAAAAAGATAAGCAATTGTTAATCAAAGGTTGATCAGATATAGAAGATATCATACCCTTAATCATGTGGGTGTCGCGATCTAATCAACAATAAGTCACGTGACTCACTTTTAAATGAGTAATTCATGCATTCGATTCGTTCAATTATTCATTCTCTCATATTTAATCAATTTCCAGAAAATTACCGTAATCATAAATATCGGTTATCAAACATAAAAAAAACAAACTTTAAATGCAGTGTTCCAAATCATTTTTTCTATCTTATCTATTCGATCTATCCAAATTCGGTTATACACAATTTAATGCTCGATACGCCACGAAAAAAAAATTTTTTTTATTCGACACATTACTTTAAATAATAAGTATGTTCTTTTTTGGGGACGAAAATAATCTGCATGCTTTTGTCATTATAAATTGATTATCTTATCAAATAAAACACAGCGTCCAAATTAGGAAATAAAAGAACAGCAGGATCACATAAATAATGTTATCTGATTCATTGTTAAATACAAAAAAAGCGAAGAGATAGGTGGGATTAGATAAAAAAAAAAAAAAAAAAAATGAATTTGAAGACCATAATGCATATAATTCTTTTCATAATCTGATCCTTCAAAGAGAGATAAGAAAATCTATAATCCTATAATAAATGATAAATAAGTTCAATAAACAATAATTTTGATTTGTTTTGTACTTTAATAGTAAATTGAGATAATGCAATATAATTATTAGATCAAAAATTTTATTTTCTTGCTGATAAGAAATAAATTTCGTAAAGAATTCTTTCTTTGATAAATTTATTATTATTATTATTATTTTTTTTTTACATTTAGTCGATCTAAATTAAAGATATAAAACATTAATAATATTGCCTTTATTTATCATTCTGTTCATTAAATATACGCGTTTAATTAAGAAAAGATTTAATTATACACCCTTTGTTTTTCTTCCGAAAAAATTTACGTTTTCAAACTATTTTATTGATAAGATCCTTTTGATAAAAGATCCTCTTGCGAAACTGATAAGATAGTAAAAATCATTATTATCATAAGGAAAAATAATTAGAAGCATGAATCTGTATACATTAAACACAAAAATAGCAGAATCACGTGCTACAATGGTCAAACATGATATGCGCCAAAGCATACCATACCATATTGGTGAAATTATTGAAAATCACAATTTTATGCATTATTTACCCTCTTTATAGCAATCCAAAATAATTATCTTGAAATCACGGAAGAAATTTTATTTCCTTCCAACACTGGATTCATAAAACACCTTTGTAAATCATCATGAGTGGTTGCATCATCATCATGATAATTCATGTGATTTGATATTTTTGATATTTGTATATTTATGGTTAAATTTTAGGGAGAAATAAAATACCGATTATCCGAATATCCGAACCGGACGAATGTTTCTCTCTTTGTGCGACGGTGATCTAAATTTTTTTATTAAAAGGTATATTTCAATTTCACAAAAATAAATTTTTTTTATTAGTTATAAATTTGACCGAGTATGCCAACTTATATAAGGTTGTGAGACCTAAAATTATAGTTGCAGTATTAATACAGGTTGATTTTTTCATGTGTCATGTGATGGTTTCACCACAGGTGATCTTGAAGAGGAACCTGTAGTTGTATTTAGATTAAGAATGAAAATTTAGATGGAAGATATTTAATTAAACTTCCTTCTTTGATTTTACATGAAATATATTCATGATATCGAAATCCTATCAAAATCCTAAAGATCTTACTTCTTGAATCTTTGAATATTGCACTTTCATCAAATAAAAATGAGAGTTTAATATTATCAGTACTCATATTCTGACTATGGCTTATTTATCATATAAATGGAATTGAAAAAATTGATGGAATTTATAAATGCAAACTTTCAGAACTTGTATCTTTACAAAATGGTCAGAAAGATAGGCTTTTAACATTTCATTCTTGATTCTCTATACGTAATAATTTAATTTTAATTACAAAGAAAAATTGGAAATCTTTTGTTTAGAAAGTTTATAAATAGCAAGATGAAAATTATAAAGAATGCATTACTTATCAAAACAAAGGTAAAGTTCTATTTGCAGACTTATTTATACTTACTGAACCTCCTATTTTTATTCAAGATAAACAGTCTATAGTTAGTTAAAAGAAACAAATTACTGATGATATTTCAAATGCTATAACAAAGAATTTAATGAAAAATGAACATGAAAAATGCAATATAGGTAATCATATTTTCAACTTAGTTACTGATAAAAAAAAATGATGATGATAAATTGAAAGATAATAAAGTTTTAATATCAAGTGAAAATGTGAAAGAAGTATTTGGAAATATTTTGATACTTAGGAAATTATATTGTATTAAAAAGTCATAAATTTATAGATATTTATTCTCTTTGGTTAATCTATTATACAAATCTAATATAAATATATAATATAAAATATATCATCATTTTTTTCTGTTATATTTTATAAATAAATATTTGTTTTTCCAACTTTAATAATTATATCATAAATTTTTAATAATATGCTATTAATTTCAAATTTAATTTTGTAATACTATAAATTTATAATTTTGATATATATAAAATTTCAAGTATCATATGAAAAACACCTTATATATCTTCAATATATACTATTTAGAATCATTAGATATTATTATTTCAT